TTCATATGAGAAAGTGATAGCCATGCAACTATTAATGATTGCAGGGTCTACCTCAATCCGTTCAATCTCAGTTTCATAAACTTCAGGTCGGGAAAGACACTCAAGAGAGCTGAGAGTCACCTCAAGTGCCCAATCACATCATATTTGACTTTGCTGGCTTCATGAAAGATAACTCATTGATTCACCACTAGTTTTAGAGGAACAGGTGGTAATGGAGTGGCTTTTGGAGGGGAAGGGTTTGCTACAGTCACTAAGGAAGGGGTTGTAGTTATGGGAGGAGGAAGAGAAGGCTGGCTAGGTTGGGCAACTGGAGTAGGTGATCGTAAGACAGGGCAAGATGAAGGCTATGATGGTTCGAGATTTTTAAGGAAGGAGGGTGAAGGATGTGTGTATGGGACTAATAGTGGTCCTGGGTATTTTAGAAGAGGAAGTGGTTCTCTAATGGGAATCGGTAAGTTTGGATAGGGAACCAGTGGTGGTCCGGGGGTATTTCAAGAGTTTAGGTGAAGCTGGTCTTTGAATTGGTTTAAGTCTCTTTCCTGACCTCTACCTCTTCTGATCAACTGCAACTATTGTGCTTCTCTAATGAAACACCAGCATATGCCATGCTTTCTAATTTGAAGAACTTTCTCCCTTCAAGTTTTTCCATAATTCCCCCAAGTCATGCTTTGCAAGCTATTGACACTTCTTGTTAGGCTTCGGGTTTATAAGCCATTTGAACACCTCTTTTGGAGCAAGACAAGGCTTGTCCTTTTTAGCAGCAAAGGCCATAGTATCTCCAACATTCAAGAATCCGGCCTTTTGAGTGACCATCTTCCTTAACTGCTTACTATGTCATTTACTGATATTGCAAAGTTTGAGCTCTTCATTAAGAGCCTCAAAATTTGGGTACTCTAAAGTGCGTTCAGAGAGAGGTTTTAAGAGGGAAGAAAGATTCGAAAAATTAGGGATAGAGATTTTAAGGTCCTCACTTAAATTGACCGAACCAGGTAGCTTTTGTGGTCATCACCTGAATTGGATTCAAAGAGGCTTTTAATGTCTTCACTCTTATTGGACATAATCGAGGATCTTTTAACGTCATTACCCTTGTTGGACGATTGCAGGGGATCTTTAAGGTCTTTACCTTGCATGGACCTTAATGGGTGCTTTTAGAGTCTTCACCTTTGTTAGACTGTTCTGGGGTGCTTTTAATGTCCTCACCTATATTAGATGGGTTTTGAATTGCTTTCATTATTATGTATTGACTACACTCAACAAAAAAGATTTGCATTAGGTTGAAGTCATACAAAGTGGGAAAAGGGGGAATAAGGGGAAGGAATGCCACTATTTAGGGTTAGTAACAAGGAATTAGGGGTAATTTTGACATTTAGCACCCAAATACTTTGCATGTCTTAAAATGTGCTCATTTTTTCCGCATTAGGTACCCTGAACAATAGGTTCTCAACCTTCAAAGACAACTTAGATAATTTTTCAGATTTGTTTTGAGGAGGGTCTGAATGAAACGAAAGTAGAAAATCAATCCCACAAATGTCAATTAGAATAATGTAATCCTTCAATGATTTTGCAAGGGACTCAAATCCCTCAAATGGTATTTTCTATTTTTAAATGAACTATCTTTTGAAAAGTACTCAAGTCGTTTTCATTGAGTTTCCAAAATTCCTTTTCTTTGATCAATGCCATTTGAATGATATCACAAGACATTATGATTATGTTTTCTGCAAATTAACACGTTAGCATAAGACATAACATAACACCTTTATTAAAAGGTTAATATACTATCTAGCTGTAAAATTCTTTATGTAAACCGCTATATAGCCTGTCCTAACCTACCAAAAAGTCATTAAATTATAAACATGAGAAAATTAAAAAAAAAAAACCTCCAAGACTATACTTTCTATGAGAGAGCCGCCAACCTAATTTTTTCTCTCACTTTTTCCCCCCAAATATACTTTCTATACAATTACCCCCCAACCAAATAAAATAAAAAAATACTTAAATTACCCTCCCTTACAATTTACCTTACCCACACCTCTCGCCCCTCTATCCCACCAAAATTGGGCTTCGCCACTGTGTGAGTGCGGCCCGGCAGTAGAACACTCTATAAAAGGCGGTCCGACAGTAGATGTTACTAGATCCAGGGCTCCGGCACTGTGTAAAAGGCGGTCCGACAGTACTCAGTTTTGGTTCGGTAGTTGTCTTAGGTCTGTCCGACACTTAAGTTTCTCTAAAGGGCGGTCCGACAATGCAATGGTGCGCTCCGACAATGTGCTACTGGGGTCCAAAAGTCAATATCAAATCTGGCCAAAATGATTTTTGTGTATGGGAAGGGTATTTCCATCTAAAAAAAGTGAACTTTTTCCCTTAGGGGTATTTGCATAGAAAGTTTTTTTTGGGGAAAAAAAGTGAGAGAAAAAGTTTTTGTAATATTCAATATTACAAAAACGATGTATGGTCCAAATAGGAAATTTTATCTTTCCATATTACAACTGAAGTCATCATAATGGACAATGTTCAAATGTTTGGAACTAAATGTGGTACACAAGTATTATAAAATTGCTAAGAAATCTCTCTCTATCATCATCATCATTATCGGAGCTTTATCCAAACTAGTTGAATCGACGACACTAACTTTGTTTTGCCACTCTTTTCTCTCAAGGGTCATACTTTCATTCAGATCATAAGTTGCCATATCTTTTCTCACCATTTCCATTTAAGTCTTTTGAGGCTTTTTTCTTGTTCTTTCAAAACTCTTCATTTGAACAAAATCACCCCTCCTAACTAGTGTTGTTCTATATTGACATTGCACATTATCAGAACACCAAGTCTACTCTTTTTCATTTTATCGCCTATTGTGGTTACTCTTACATTGTCTCTGATGTACATGTTCCAAATGTTATTGTTCCTTGTCTTGCTACTTATCTAACATCCCCATCTCAACTATATTCATTCTATAGATATATTATTTATTGATTGTTTATCATTATGTCTCATATAAACATGATTTTATATATATAGTGAGAGAGAATCTAAGCTCGCTAGTTGATAACTACAGCAAAAGCTCAACGACCTATATTGAATATGGGTTGATCCAATAGTCATAATTGTATTTCGTATTTGAATTTGAATTTTTTTATAAATCCATTTCACTTAAAATTTTGGGTGCCTCCTCTTGTAAAATAGGTAAATTTAATAAAATATTTTATTATAAAAAATAATTTGACGAAAATACCCTTAAAAATTATGGGCATTTTAGTTAATTTAGTTTTGTGAACAATATTTTTAATATATTTATTAGGTGTTCTTGATGAGAAGAGTGGAGCTCTAAATTTTAAGTTATTTGAATTTGTAGATAAAAAATTAAAATTCAGATATGAAATACAATTGTGACATTGCTAACCCTCATCGGTTTATTCTATGCCTTTGTAATAAGGGTTTTCCAACTCGATTGCCCTAGCACGTCAAGCTAAGTCTAAGTATCGATAAATAATATTTTCCTATCTTGATCTACAAATGACTATATTTACACTAAGTTTATGTTCTACTATATTAAATATTTGAATACAAGCTCTCATAGAGCCTTTAATGGCCAGAGAAACTCAAAAAATTTATGAGTTAGTAATAGCAAGAATAATAAATAAAAGAGAAAATACCAATTTAGACCCCTTAAATAGTATGGGTTTCATATGCCACTCCTTCTTTTCATCTGCATAAATACTGATAAATACGACAGAGAAATTGAAGTATAACTTTCCTCTGTTATCATGTGGTGCAACAAACCTTCATCTGTTCTCTCTTATCAAGTGGTGTAACAAACCTTCCTCTATCCCCTGGACGTTGGTGGACACTTTACCTGAGATTCTCTTGCTTCTTAGATGGAGGAATATGCTTTTTGTCCATGTTATCAGGGAGAAGAATTCACTACTAACATTTTCTCTTTTTTCCTTTCTTTCTTGTTGTTTCTTTTATGTTTTTCTTTTTTGTCTTGAGGCCCTCTCAGCTTTAATATCTACCTTTTCACATTAATGAAACAAATAATTCCAAAAAAAAAAAAATTGAGACAAATGGGTAGAGAGGGAGGGCATGTGTAGTATAGAGAAAGAGGAAGAGAGATTTTATGAGGGAAAATTACAAGAAACTTTAAAAACTACACTTTCTATGCAACTTACCCTAACTTAATTTTTTTCCTAAAATATATTTTTTTATGCAAAAACCCCTCAATCAGAAAAATAAAAAAATACCTAGACTATCATCTCTTACTTTTGCCTTACCCACGTCTCTCTCCTCTATCCCACCAAAATATGGGGCTCTAGCACCGTGTAAGTGCGGTCCATCAGTAGCACTCCGTAAAGTTCGGTCCGACACTTTGTAAAGTGCTGTCTACCAGTAGGGTTGTGTAAAGGGTCCGGCAGTAGCACAACATGGTCCGACAGTTACAAATGGCGGTCCGACACTTATGCACTTTGACAATGTGATGATGTGCTCCAACAATGTGTTACTCAATATCAAATCTGTCTAAAATGATTTTTGTATATGGGGAAAGTATTTTCGTCTAACAAATGAACTTTTTTTCTTCAGAGATATTTGCATAAAAAATTTGATTTGGAGAAAAAAAAAAAAAAAAAAGGTTAGAGATAAGTTGCATACAAAGTTTTTTCTTTTTCCGATAATTTTCCCATTTTATTACGGGTTTAGAAGGAGCGGTTATTTTATGCGCGAGAGAGAAATCGATAATACCAACATTGAAAGAGATGAATGAATTTGAGCCATCTATAGGGGCTGTTGACGGAAAAGAACAACGGAAAAAGTTAAGCTTGTACGGGCTGAAACTCTACTTTCTCTAATTAGCTATGCCGCGAGGAAGAAAATAAAAAACAAGGTGAGAAAACCATTTTGGGGTAATTGTGAGAATTATTTACTAATTAAAGGAAAAAAAAAAAGGATACGTCAAAGTACGGAGGGCAAATATAAAAAAAAAGCATACAGAAAATTCCCCAAATATTTTTTTTTCTTTAACAGTACACTACCTCTAGTGCGTTTGCACTCCAGCGACCTGAAGCAGAAGCCGGACGTCGCACTCTGCAAAATGTTGCTGCTACCAAGGCGTCTGCGCTTGGTAAACCCTATTAATGTCGCTCCCTTGCTAAACTCTAACCCTAATTTCGCACCGTCGATAAACTCGAACCCTAATAATTTCAGTGAGGAAGAAGATGTTTTTATCCGTGGTCTAAGGACTCATTCGAATTCAAATGCAAATGCAATTGTGAATGCAAAGAACAAAGGGAGGGGAAAGTCAGAATGGTGGATTTTGGATGGGGAAATGCAAGAGATTGGGGACGATGTTCCTCCTAGAGAGAGGTTTGTGATACCGAGGGACAACCTCCCCAATAGACGCAGGAAGCAGATGAGGGAGCAGTTTATGCGAAGGACCCGCCTCGTCCTTAAAGAATCTGTGAGTGAGTAATCGAAGTATTTCATCGTGCTTTGTATTTGAGTTCTTTTGTCTGAAATTATAGAAGCTAGTATTTGTTGATTCAGTTAGGGGTGCATTTTTATTTTTATTTTTTTTTCAGTTAGCAGTTGGTGCACTATTTCTTTCTTTTCCTTTTATTTTATTTTTATTTTTTTAAAAACGTTTAGTTAGTGGTGCTTGTTCTGATTGATGGTTGGGGGTGCATTTGAAGAGGTTTTTTCGATGTCGTAGTGATGGAGTTGGATCAGGAGAGTGGTTGCTGTAACATTAGGAATATGTGAACTTGCGAAGAGCAAGAGGAGAAGTGAAAAACTGATAAACTTGATGTCAAGTTTTTGTTTTCATTGAAAATATGCAATGAATCGTTTGAGGGTTTGAAATTCAATAAATCCTTCGAGGGTTTGATCACTTGTTGATGAGTTATTTGTGAGCTGCTGTGCTTGCTATCTACCTTGTACTGACCTGCCTGCGTTGTGGCCTGAAGGAGCATGAGCCTTGGTGCAGAAGATATATGGAACTTTATCAGGAACTTCGGGAGAACTGGGAAAGGTTATACTGGGATGAGGGCTATTCGAAAAAAATTGCCCAAGACCATGCGAACTATGAATCTGCTGAAGACGATGATCTTGACTTTTCACCAAACAGGTTAACCTCCTCTCTTCCTCATTCTGTTTTTATCCTCTATGATGTAATGTATAATTTAACAGCATCATTGTGTAAATCTAATGATTGTGCCTGCCTATTCAATTGGCTAACACTTTAACTTTATTGGATTACACAATTTGTTTGAAAGTATTCATCTCCGTCATATATATCAGAGGCGCTAGTTGTATGTCTTATGGTTTGTTGCTAATAACTTATGTCTCATGCTTATTAAATTCCATAATAATGATGGTTTCTTTCATAAGTTCTTGGTGCTTAAAGTAATTCCTGTTTCGCCTGTTCTTAAATTTGATCAGCAATTCTTGTGCCACTTCTTGTGTCCTGAAGGGGTATTCCTTACTGTTTTAGGCCCTGAATGACTCTTACGGATTATACTGGAAAAAAAACCTACGTCAGTATCAATTTTCTTATTTCATTTTTCATTAAATTTGTTGATACTTTCAGAATGCATTCAGCTTGTCATTATGTTTGTGGTGGGAAACTGTACTTCCGTCAATACTTTTCTTTATATTTTCACCTTCTATCTAGAGTCTAGACAATTATATCCTTAAAAATATAATCTTGAAAGAGTCACTGGTATTGGCCTTTTCCTTCTTTCTTCCTTCCTGGTAGAGATGTGAAGCAGTTTTGGCCTGTTATGGTGATTGATAAAGAATTTGTTATCCTCTTGTTGCAGGAGAAGGCGACCCCAATCTGAACAGATGAAGGTACCGTCTTAGCAACCATTTATCTTCCATACCCTTTTTCCTTTGCTTTGCTCATAACATGTTTAATATATATCTTGAGTTTGGCTATAATGTTCTTGAAATAGCTTTCACTTTTTGAGAATTGAATGAGCAGTTTTTGTATTATTAGTTCAAGGCTAGAGTGTTAATTCTAAAGAAGCGAATTGATGCTATTCTAAGAAAACTTGCTTTTTCTTTCTTTTTTTTGATCAATGATATCCAATGGAATAAATAAACAGAAAATAGAGAGAAGCCAATTACAAATAACACACTGGGGAGGCAAGTGTCCCTCAAAGCCAATCCCTCCCTTTCTTCTCTTGGATTTCATCCCACGTTCTTTGCCTGTTGCATCTACTCAAGTGTAATATGACCTCCTCCATCTGGGCCATGTCACATGTGATATGAAATTGGAACTCCATAAGGTGATAACCTGAGTGTCCAGCCATGAATACTGGCATAGTAACTCCTAACATTTTGATCCACACGTCCTTGGATTGACATTAAACTGCATAGAGGCCAGGATTCCACTTTAAAGCCAAAGTTGATCCTTGTAGTCATCTAGATCCTTTCTGTAGCACTTGCTCTGTGTCCTGCACTATTTGGAGCTAGAAGAACGCATCCCTACCTTCTTATACCTGCACACTGACATATGCGGATGTTCTACATGTTTGTGGTGCCTATCTCTGGATCAACCTGGCATTTGTATTCTGGAGTTGAAGCTATTCTATGCAGGACTCAAGTGCACTATGAATGGTTTCTTTGCTACTTGTTACTATCACTGTCTTGATGAGAATCCTCAAACTTTGTTCAGATGGGTTTATGTCCTTCCCCCATCTAAATAAAGTTTTGAGGGAGACTTGTCAAGGGAGAGTGATGTTAGTAACCAGCAACCAAGCCTTTACTAACCAACAGATAATTTCCTCCATGTTTTTTTTCTTCCTTCCTTGCTGTTTATCTTTTTTAATAATTATCTACTATACTTCTGTTTCCTTGTCACAAGTGTAGTAAAGCATACCTATTCTAGAGTTCCAGCTTCTTCTTGACAATTCATACCTTATCATGAAAACTGAACGTGGCCCGCATCAATACACTAGTACTTCCTGCACCATCTTTCCATATTCTCTTTGAATGGTGAAGAGTCCCCTTTGTTCCAAGCATAGTTGTGGAAACGATTCCGAATCCAAATCGCTTGAGGAATCGGAACAATGGAATCATGGCCGGCTAGAAGAGTCCTATTTTAGGAATTGATGACTGTATAAGGGGAATCGTTAGAAACAAGATTTCTATTTATAGGAATTAAGATTCGGCCAAAATGGTATCAAGATCCCAACATATATGAAATTGAGATTCGTAGTTCTATGGAATCGAGTTTCCAACCTATTTGGAGTACTCCAAGTTACAAAAGAAGTTACCTGCAAAAGACATTGGAATGAAGCTTGTTAAGAATTGAATTATGGACTTTTGCATTTGAATTTTGATTTATGGAACCAAAACTTTGGCATTGCATTTATCAGGTTATTTTTCGGAGTACACATGAATGATAGAAGGTAATCTTCTTCAGTTCTGGTTTCCAAATAACTCAAATTAAAATCCATAAATATTTCAGCCAATTTTTAAGCCACATACATATGCATCGAGAATATTAGTATTGATTTTTTGGTATTACGATTAAAAAAAAAAAACAGATCAAGGTTCTGTGAGGTGAAAACATGATTTGATGTTTGATTAGTTCATTGTTTCTAGCATCTATGAAATGCAATACTTGTTTAGGAATCTGGATTTGCAAACTATCGAATTGAGCATCGTTATATGTGGAAATCAATTTCAACAACTATAGATTCAGGATTCACCAATTGCAGAATCGAGAATCAGTAAATATTGGAAACAAGATTCTATAAGAGTTGAATCGAGATTCCGAAAATACGGAATCGAGATTCCAAACTTTGCGGAAACTGATTCCGTGAAGATTCCTTGTTAGAATTGGCGAATCGAGGTTTTGAAGTAGAATCGTGACCTCTGGTGCGAGATTCGGGTAACTATGGTTCCAAGCCAAGTTATTTAAAATCTATGTTGTGAAGGGCCCCATTTACTTACCATGATTGCCAATGCATTGATTCCAAAAGTGGTCCGTCCACTGCCTAGGCAGGCTAGGGGGGCCGAGCCACATCGCCTTGGCTTGGGCGGACCAATTAGGTGAGCTGTCCCTAGGTGCCCACCTACTACCCCGCCTAGGCGGGCGCCCAGGGGATTGCACCCGCTTAGGTGTAAAAATACCCATTGGGTCAGGTATTTTTGTTTTGGATTATAAAACCTGCATGAATATTCATTTTTAATACAAAATCTAGACCTAAAATAGGAAAATTGGACACCCATTGCCCCCTTTTGAACCTATGCTGCTCAGGTTTTGGGTAGCTGCCTAGCCCTCGGGCCACATAGGCTAAGCCCGACTTTTTATGGGACACTATGCCAGTGATTTGAGAGAGCTTTGATCATCGTTTTTGAAGGCATTATATTAATTTTACTTTAACTAGAAAGTAATCAATCCTTGTCAGTGATTCAAAAAGCGGACCGCCCAACGCTTGGGCGGCTGCTTAGGTAGAATTTGGGGCCTAGGCGCACTTTTGAAGTGCTAATTCTTGGGCGCTCAGAAAACCGCTTAGGATGCCGCCCAGTGCCTAGACTTAGGCGGCCGCCTATGTCCTGCGTCCCGCCCGGGGGTGGAAATTCACTTCGGTGGAGGCATTTTTGGTCCATTTTTTTTTATGCTAAAGAGCCCAAAATGGTGGTTTTAGGTTCATTTGAAACCTTAAACTTATTGGTGCCCATTTGAGAGAGAGAAATCCCCCAAAAAACTAGTTTTTTAGTAATTCATAAGGATCAAAGGGTTTCTCAAAGTTATGAGAAATTGATCAAAACATCACCCATTGATATTAGATTTAATTTTTGATGTTTTATAAATCTATTGGGGTTTTTTTAGAAGATTTTGAGTCCTTAGAAGCATCTTTGAGGTGGAAGTTCGGAGACTGAGCAATCAAACTCAAAGTGATTTATTTTTATTGCTTTGCTTGTATAAATTGCATTATTTTGAGATGTCTTCTTCAGGATCTAATAAGAGTGGTGATCCCGGTTGGAAATATGGCTACAACCCAGATCCTAATGATAGAAATTGCATAAGATGCAATTTTTGTGAGAAGGATACAAAAGGGGGCATAATCCGGTTCAAAAAACATCTTGCCGGTATCATGGGAGATGTTGCCCCATGTAAAAAGACTCCTGATGCTGTTAAAGAGGAAATAACCAATTTTTTGAATATCGTGAAAATGAAAAAAGATGAGAGATTTTCCTCCACAGCAGAGAGTAGGTCTGGGGTTCGAATAAATTATGATGATGATGATAGTCATGAGGATGGGATTGGGGAGGGATGTCAAGAAGTAGAACAATCCATTATTAGGGGAAAGGGAAAGGGAGTTGTAATTGCTTCTGGTTCTGAGAGTAAGAAGCCTTGGGTTAAGGGCCCTATAGATAGTTTTTTGCCTCGGCCTGATCCTGAGGTTGCAGGAGAGAAAACAAAGATGCAAACCACCATTGAAAATAGAATAAAGAAGGAAGAGAGAGATAGAGCTGTTCATTATCTTGCTACATGGTTTTATGAGGCGAGCATTCCTTTCAATACCGTTCGCTTAAGCAGCTTCTAGGTCGCAGTAGAGGCAATTGGCCAATTTGGGCATGGGATGAAACCCCCAACCCCATATTAGCTTTTAGAGCCTCTTTTGAAGAAGACAGTGAGTGTCACGAAGGAAGCTGTAGAAGTTAAGAAGGATGCATGGGCTCAGTATGGGGTTTCTATTATGGCTGATGCTTAGAGTGATAGGAAGAGAAGAAGTCAGATGAATTTGCTTGTGAATTGTCTTTTAGGGGCTGTTTTTTTGAGGTCTATTGATGCCTTTGATCATATCCCTGATGCCCATTACATATTCCAAGTTATAGAGAAGGGAATCAAGGAGGTTGGGGAGCATCTTGTTGTACAGGTTGTCACAGACAATGCTGCTTCTAATGTTGTTGTAGCTAATTTGTTGCGCATAGCTTATCCTAGAATCTTTTGGACACAATGTGCAACACATTGTATAGACCTCATGCTTGAGGTTCTTGGCGGTTTAACCGAGATATCAGATGCAGTGAAGAAGGTAAAGTCAGTTACAAATTTCATTTATGGCCACCATCTCACTCTCAAAATGATGTGTAGATTTACAAAGAAGAAATATATTGTGAGGTCAAGGGTCACAAGATTTGCGACCTGGTACTTGTGCCTAGATAACATACATTCGAGGAGAGTGCAGTTGAGGTAGGTGTTTACCTCAGATGACTGGAGAGCACGCAAGTGGTCCAAGGATCAGGTTGGGAAGAAGGTGAGAGATATTATCCTTTCTAAGGCTTTTTGGCGAGGGGTGAAGGGCGCTCTTAAGGTATTTTTCTCTTGTCAAAGTCCTTCGCATGGTTGAGAGTGACAAGCCTTCTGTGGGCTATATATATGAGGCTATGGAGAAATGCTAAAGAGATATAACTCAAAATTTTGATAATGATGAGAACTACTACAAGCCTGTTTTGGAGATTATTGATGAGAAGTGGGACAGACAGCTACATCGGCCATTGCATGCAGCTGGTTATTATTTGAACCCAACTTTTTTTTATGTTGACAAGGATATACACACAAATGACACAATTATGACTGGATTTAATAAGTGTGTAGATGTGCTAGTCCTTGATCCTGATATGCAGGATATTATATGCGCTGATGAGCTGATAAATTACAAGTGCTCATTAAAGTCTTTTGGGAGTCCAATGACGATGAGGCAAAGGGCCAAAATTGATCCAGGTACCATAGTAATAATATTCTTAAGTTCATCAAGTTCAAGTAATCAAATTTCATTTGTATAATTTTATTATGATTTTATTGTATATCGTTACAGCCCATTGGTGGAACCAACATGGGTGTAGTTCTCCAAATTTATAAAAGTTGGCCATTCGGATCTCAAACCTAACCACTTCCTCATCCGGTTGTGAGCGCAATTGGAGTACTTTGGAAGGGATAAGGCCGTAAGGGTAATTTGTATAATTGTATTAATAATACATGAACCATAGATTTTAATTATTTTCATTTGATTTTGTTAGATGCATACAAAGAGAAGGAACATGCTTGAATCAAAGAGGCTCAATGACTTAGTCTATGTCAAGTATAATTGACTCTTGAAGGACAGGTTTGTTAAGAGAGATAAGAGACCCCATCAGATAAAAACATATGGACAATGCTATAGAGTGGTTAGTTGATGATGATGAGGTCGAGGGGCGTGAAGGATTGACATGGGACATGGTCATAGATGCTTCTGGGACATCAGCTGACCCTCCTAGGGCCACTAGATCTTCTGCAAAGAGAACAAGGTTGGAGGAAGAGGAGGAAGAAGAGGCAGACTCAAAAGAGGCGGAGGAAGACGACCAATATGTCGAGGAGGGTGACGATTCCGATGAATATGATGCCAATGTAGTTGACCCGATTTTTTCTGATGATGGATGATGAATGTTGAATAATCATTAAACTTTGAACTTTGATTGAACTACTGTCTATTGGAGATTCTTTTGAGTCTTCAAGTATTTGTATTTGTATTACTTTCATTATTTTTTTTTCCTCGTGGTGGTGTAATATTGTAATGTGTTTTGTGGATAGTGGATTTGTAGTTCCACTAGTTTGGTACTATTTAGTAACTTTGGTTTGGTAATTTGGTTGGTTGGTAAATTTTAAGTACCTATACTGACTTCTGGTTATGCTTATCAGCTTATGGAGTGTGTATTGATGTGTAGTATACTTTGAATAGATTCATTAGCTTGTCCTCAATCAAGTATTTCAATTTTCCCTTGGCACCAAGAGTAAATTTTAAGTATACTCTGTATAGGTACCTTTTTTTATTCAACTGGGCTGCCCAGGTTCTTGGCGCCCGCCTAGGCGCTGGGTGGCCTGGAGCCCCTAGCCTCTTGGGGCCCACCTAGTGCTTTTTGAAACACTGGTCCTTGTCATAACATGATTTGCCTGGATGTTTGCCATGTGAAATTACTTCCTGAGGTGTTATTTCGTCTGGGATAAAGCTGGAGCATCAGCGTCGGTGGAGTTCTATTACCTGAGGGCAGATTGGGATCTTATGAGTCCTTATCTTCATCATAGATAACCAAATCTTGCCTTGGCTGTGTTCATGAGTCCTCATTATATATCTGAATCCCGACAAGCATTGTCTTTCTTGAGTTCAATCTCTATCCTAAAAGTCCTTAGAAGCACCAATTTCTAATCACAGCAACTTTTCAACCAGGGTGTTTCTAAGGACATTAGTGTTGTCGACAAACTAATGAGTGACACTGAAATATCTCTCATGTTTGTTGGTATTCTCAATAGAATGCCGAAAGATAATATGGTGATGGTAAATAGAGGGGTGATAGCCCCTAAAACCCTTACAATGGTCTTCAGGAACAACAATTGATTATAAATGAGAAAGTTGCTATTGACACACTTGGCCAGTTCCAAATTCATAGCGTGGGACATTTATAATTCTGGCGCAAACGTTCACAGGTTTCTCCTCACCCTGGCTATCATATCAAGAAGCTTATGAATAACCTATGATCCATACAGGAATTTATTGCCCCATATAAAATTCCCTTTAGCAGGGAAAGTAATCGGTTCATTAGCTCTTGAGAAGTGATTACTTGCAAGAGAGCCTGTACATACCCCTGAAAGAAGACTACCAGTCTTGCACCACGTGAACAATTTGATCCGAACACATTAGTTCAAACGCAGTTTCAATCACTAGGGATGTTCTTCCAATCCATTCCAATGACTAGGGACATGTAACCTGCTAATTGCTAATTTATTTACTAAGTTTTATCAGATTTCATACCATGGTATTATTTTGTATTACTCATTGATTGAAACCTTCTAGAGAATCCCTGGCTGTGTTAACTTTTGTGAGTCTCAGTTAGGTTTACATCTTCCAATGTGATATTCTAGCATGTTGGTGGCCCGCAGGTAAAGATATGCATGTTTAAGCTGTAGTTTCCAGAAAGTTAGTTTTCTCTTACTGGCCGACTCTGTGTCAAATCTTAGGGTTGGTTGTTGGTCTTCAATATGCCTTTTTTTATGCGAAAACAAATTAATGCTTTTGTGTGCTGTACATTATAAATGTTATGATTTCCAAAAACTTTCAATTAACATTCTTTATATACAAAATATATTTCTGTATGCAGGACCTTGGATTTGATGTAGCCAGATCAAGTGATGCTTGGGTTAGGTCTGGTCAAATAAGAGATAAGTTTGAATATGACAGAGAGAAAAGAATGAGAGACAAAGGTAATATCCCGAGACTCAGTAATAATGTCAGTGTCTTTTTTCTTTCCATAGTGTTTGTCTTTCTACATTGATCATGGTCGTACCAGTTGCTTAAAGGCTTGAGATCATATATGAAACATGTAAATCTTGTTCATATCTTTTGTCGGTTTGATAGTACACATTTTGTAGCTATTGCCTGTTGGCCATCAATTGCCATCTTCTTGTTAATTTTGTCATGTAAGGGAGTAACTAATTTCTTGAAAATTGTACTATATTTTCTACATGCCTCTTAAATCTATTTAGAGCGAATTTGTTGCTTCAAAATATTAAATCATGACCATACTTGGATGGAATGATTGGTAACTGTATCACTTAGGTTGCTATCACTGCAGTGATGTGATAGTACATAATGTTTGGAAGACTTATTCAGATAAGCAAATTAGACATTTGGTTGCGGTGGCCTTTGGTTTTCTGACAAGTTGTTGATCTAAAGTTTCCTAATGATAGGTAAAGTGATTTTATCCTGAACCTCTGCAGAGAATATTCATTTATTATAAAATTTCTTATTAATAAGCCATTAGCCTTAGTCAAGACTATTCACTGGCCATCTAGCATCATTCAACTCTGGAATATTTATCTGTGTTGGTTGGTATGCATTTGACATGGTTCCATTTGGTATTTCTTTACCATTTTGATCTACTTTTAGTTTGATGAATAAATCATAGAAAAGACGATCGATGATTCTTGCTTGTAAAAATGTTGCATTATAATGACTAAGTGACTATATTTTATGGTTTTGGTGAGGGTTTTCATTGATTATTTTTTGACATTTACATTTAACACCTGTAGAGTGGTTCTTTGTAAGGACATCAACCTCTTGACTTGTACAAACCATCCGTACTTGGTCATGCCATTGATGTTCGTCGCATTTACTGGAAAAGGCATTTCCTTCACAGATGTCAACTGGATGCATAAAATTCCACATGGATCCATAATTTACTTCTTTATCATGGGGTGAGTATGTTATTGTCTGTAATTGCATGGTGATGTGTGGACATGTGCCCTCTTACACGACTGTCTTCACCAACATAGCTATCTGTTAAAATAAACTTTAACTTCCTTCTCTCTTAAAATAATTTTTAAAACAAAAAATGGGGGTGGTAAAGTTCTCCTAGCATCATCCTTCTTCTCTCTCCTCTTAGCTGTCTCTCTTGTTTAATGCTTTGCTGCAGGGGCCACAGACTAGTAGATTTATAATGCTGATCTATTGTCAGTGGTGGTATTTTGAGAGCTTCCTGATCATTGAGGACTTTTTCTGGTCACATGATTTTCATCTAACCTGTTTTTGTGACCTCTGTATTGTTCTGCTCTCCGGATTCTCTTTCATACCTCTGCATTCTTTTGTATGCATAGGTCCACGTTTGTTTGGATAATGTGCATTGTGATGTACACAATTCATATATTTATATATGTATGTATATATATACATATATGTACATAGTACATACATATATATGTGTATGTATGTGTGTGTGTGTTTTTGTGTGTGTGGATAACACTTACAAACACTCATGAGTGAATTTCTACAATATAGCTTTAGTCTAGAGCCAAGTAATTAGTGAACCTTTGAGAGAGAGTATTGTTTGTTCATTTACTTCCTATCTCCCATCTATCTATTTCCTTAGTTATTCACTAGAGCAATTATTATATAGATGTCAATCTGGGGACACTCTTGAGTGAATTTCTACAGTACTTGACTCATGGCTCGTTACTATCCAAAGTCCATCAAATGATGTAGGAGAACACGAAGAAACATAGAAAAATCAGCAAGAAGCACCTCCACACAAGCAATTTTGGAGAAACCCTAAGGCTTTCTCCCACCTAAGGCTCAATCCTTAGGCTTATTTTACAAGACAAAATCTTATCTTTTCTTTAAAGAGGAATACGTGAATGCTTCTCCAACCTCATTCACACCCTGATTTATATTGAAAATTTATTGTTTTGGACAATATTTGTCCATACAACTAACTTTTTCCAAGAGGTCCTAACTATAACTTGAAACTAAACTCCCCAACCTTAATTAAAATATCTAAAAAGTCCCTAACTGGTCTAACAATAAAATAAATAAAGAAAAACATCAAAAATAGCCTAAAAACTAAAAAAACCCAACTATTTCTTGCTCTTCTTGTTCTTCTTGGAATCCCTTTTAGGGATTTCATCCTCCAAGTATGAGCGAAAATTAGGAGGAATCTGTCGCTTCCAAAGAAGACACTCATGGCTACTTGTTGTGCTCTGATCACCATTAAGCACAGTCGATTCTTGTCGTGATATTCGTCGATAGGCATGATAGCTCGTAGACATGGTCTAGGGCCAGGTATCGAGAATGAGCCTATCCAACAAGACGGAGACCTTCGAGGTCTTCGAGTTAAAGAGATCAAAAATTTGAGAATGCAAGTAGAGGAGTTGACCTTGCCCTCGAAGCAAAATCTAGCCTCAACACACTGTGATGACGGTGGTGAGTTGGATGCTATGCGTACGCTCTGTGTTGGGAGACTCATGGTCAGGAGAGTGATCTAGTCAAGTTTGATAAAAAGCCAGTAGGTTTGGATATTTAATTAGAATTATCATTCCAAAGTGATCTCATCTTTGATGGAGGTCCTATATTTGATGAAGAGCAAGATGAAAGGAGTGAAGTTGTCGTTGAGGCAGCTAGGATATCAAATTTTCTTTTCAATGGAGAGGTGGAGAATCAAGATGTTGACTTGAACCCAGAGGAGATCGAGCCTTTAAAGATGCGTGACGAAGAAGAAGATGCATACTTGGTGTGCGCTAAGGTTAAGCTTGAGCAAGTTCAGCAAGTTCATGTGGCTGACAAATCGACATACAATGACTCTTTCCTCGAGGGTTTCTCAATTTCAGTGCACAATCATTCTGTTTTGATCAATGCAGTAACCCATAGGTCTCAAGATCGTGTTTGCAATATTCGGATTGAAGAAGGACGCATGACTAATACAAATTTCATCTTAGCGCATTTTAAAATTTCATCTTAATTTTAATTTTATTAATTTTATTTTTAGAGATGTGGGTAAAACTTTTTAATTCTTTTAGAATTAATTCTTAGAAATAGGATTAGTATGAGTTTTTAAGGTTTAGTTTTGATGAAGTTTATTTTTTAGAAAGTACGTTACTTTAAGAAACGAGTCCATTTATTTAAATTTCAAATAAGAGTTTATCTTTTCTTTTTGTTTTCTTAGAAAAGATAAGTCTATTTTCTTGATTGAGCAGGGTTCGTTTTTTGTTGAATGGTTTTTAGGAAGAATTGGTGTTGTTTTTAGGAATTTTGTTTCCTATAGATCTGTTACTATCTTAGTTGATAAAAATTTTTTTTTTAATAAAAACCATAGAGTTCCTAAAAAACTAAAACCCAAAAAATAAATCCTAAAAATAACATCAAAATATACATCTTTTAAAATTGAATAGAAATTAAAAATAAATATAATTTTGCCTTCTATTACAGAGACAAAGTCTTTTCTTTTCTTTAAAGAAGAATACGTGAATGCTTCTCCAGTCCATTCACACCCTTATTTATATTGCAAATTTATTCTTTTGAACAATATTTGTCCATACAACTGACTTTTGACCAAGAGGTTCGTACTTAAACTTAATTTTTGTAATTACAATTTTGCCCCTATGAATAATACCTATGAACATTTCACGTGAATGGTACTTATGAATAGTACTCATGAAATAAATAAAAAAACTATAAAAATACTAGAATTCGTGGAAAACTTAAAACCCTAAAAATAAATTCTAAAACTAAAATAAAAATATACATCCTTTAAAATTGAATAGAAATTAAAAATAAATATAATTTTGCGCTTCATCAAATACCCTTGAAACATTCATAGGGATAATTTGGTCATTCTATTATTGGAACTATTTTTTATATCGTATTTAGGTGTGCCTCACTAAGGCGCAAACACTTACAAAATTGGAGGCTGATTACTTTTGTAAAAAAAAGGAAAATTTTGTATAGACCCCTAATTTCTCATATTATTTCATGGTAGACCCCCTTTTCGTTTTCTTTCAAGCAGCATAAGGAAACCCTTAAAGATTTCACCGTACCTCCTCATCTCTTATCTCCTTCTTTATTGACTTTTGACTATAAAAATTAGCCTCAACAAATTTTTTTATACCATTTCAACCCAAAGACGTTTTGACCATCTCTTTCGCTTTCCACCCATTAAAAAAGTTTTTGAATTAAAATAGTGTAAAAAGATTTGTTGGGGCTATTTTTTATGGTAAAAAAGTCAATAAAAGAGGGAAATAAGAGATGAGGGGGTATAGTGAAATCCTTAAAGATTTCCTTATGCTGCTTGAAAGAAAAACGGAAGGAGGGTCTACCATGAAATAACATGAAGAATTAGGGGCTTATACAAAATTTTCCCAAAAAATATTTAAAAATTCAAGTACTATTAGACAATCGTGATCGTTTGATGGACTTTAGACATTGATGAGCCATAAGTGAAATATTGTAGAACTTTAATTATTGGGTTTTAAGTGTTTTCCTATTGTATATATATATATGCAGTCTGTGAGTCAGTGGAGTGAGTATGGTAGATTGTTTGACTTCTACGTTAGGGGAAATTGC